TTCTATAGGCTGTCTTGACCATAAAAATTGCAGCTCGCATGCAAATTCCCTTCTAGAATTTCTGAACTTTTACAGCCTTTCAAGTCCTACCTTAAGATCCAGCACCTCTCCTTAAGAGGCGCAGTAACAATCACAGCTCACAAAGTATTTAAGCCTTCTTTGGGTGTAAGATCTGTGTAGTACAGCACCAGATAAAATGGTATTCAAAGCTGAAGCATACCACTGAGTCCTTGATCTTGAGAAAAACACACTGGTAGGCAGCAAGTGGCATTAAGGTCTCAACATACACGAGATTATTTATCTTTATGAGATCCATGAATAGAGGCTGAGGGAGGAAGCAGCACCTGGAGCAGGTTACCCCAAGCCTAGCAACACGCCCCTTTTCCTCCCATGCCAGCAGGCACAACTCTGTGTGCGGGATGAATTCCTTGCTATTTGGTAGTGAATGGGCTAAAGAGACCTCGTCTCACATAGCCGTTAATATTAAGGGTTGTTTTATTTAGCCAAGCAGACAGAACATGGGCTGGGAGGTTTGAACCTCTGTTTCATCCCTCCTCTTCCTAAGTTCCCAAGCCACTAGCTCATAAAGAAAAGGACTGTCTGTCCTTTTTGCTCCCCTTTTGGAGCTGTTCCTTTTTTGCTCCAATGAATGTTCGGTAAGGCAACCAGAATCCAGATTATTTTTTTCTATCCCTAGGGAGTACTTTAACTGAGCTATGTCATCCATTCTTGTGCAGGATCCTCCCACCAAGGAAAACTGTTTCACCAGGAGGAATTCAGAGCCACGTATACAACATTCCCACACTGCAGATTATCCTGAGCAATGCTGTTCCGCTCCCTGTGTGATATCTCAGATGAACACTCCACATCCCTTATGCAAAGGGGGTAAAGACACAATTTCAGAAACTAGAATGGGCTGCTTTGCCCGTGTCATACAGGTGGGTCAGATCACAAGCGTGCATCCAAAGAACAGCACAGGGCAAAGCCCTTTAGGTTAGATATGTAGGAGAAAACCTTAGGCAGGATTCACAAATAAGAATGAACCACTATCAGGTTCCTTGCTTTTGCCCAGACTTCCTGCCCAAATGTAGACTTTGAAAGCCAAAAAGTAGATCTTACGAACCTCCTGGCACTACAAGGGTTGTAATCCGTCAGAAACCATGTTTCCATGGTGCTCGATTGTCGCTTCCGCTCATTTGCTTCATTAAAAGCCAGACGATGTCTGGCAAATCAGAATTAACCTTTTGCATTTCTCTGCTATTCTTAAACTGCGATCCTTCACAGGTTTCCAAGGATAAGCCATGCCATTACTTAAGAAACAAATATTCATTCCCACTCCTCTTCATCAACCAATCCCTGGGGATACTTCTCCAGAAAAATCACCTGAGGAAAAAGCAAGGTGACAGACTGAAAGGGCGAAGGACTAGCTCTTCATAGCAGTATTATTTTAAACCTGACAGTCCAGTACAGCAAAACCTCCTAAAATAGGTCACATAGTTGAGCCAGCTTTTAGCCAAGTGTTCTAGAGGTGACATAACCAGTAAAGTTCTATCAGCATCTGACTGATAGAATTTTCCCTAGAGGACAGACAGTAAGTTCCTCTTGTGGGCTATGAGGGTGGAAAGGCACCCAAGCGACAGCAGCGTGCCAAGCCAGCTCACTAATGGAAAAAGCTCTCTCTTCTCCTCACTTCACCAACAGTTAATGCTATTTTGCTCCACTATTTAAAGAACAGTGAGTAATATGAGTAGGGTCAATAAAAGGCCTGGTCAGCCCCTGTGGAAGCACACACCCTCCTCTCGATCAGTCACGACATCATGCTTGAAAACAGTAACTACAAGGTTTTTATTATGCATTTTATTATGCACGAGCAGGACAGCACTCATTTTCTCAGCAGCATTAGCTCCTAAAATTACTGCACCTTTCCTGGCTTGGCCACTGAAATGTGCTTCAGAGAGCTGCCTGGTGCTGCGTATCCCTGAGACCGTGGTTGTTCCTTCCCTGCACTCAAGTTTATAGGAAAAAGTCCCCAACGTCCCCAGGGAAACATCAGAAATCCCATCTCTGCTGCCTCCCCAGCCCCCGAAATAGCAGGTATTTAGCCGTGCTCCCCATGGGGGCAGGAGGTTTTGTGTGCTGCTCCCACAGAAGACGTCAGAGGAAGCTGTCACATCCACACCATCTGAACAAATCTGCTAAGGAAAGCCGAAGCCGGTTTTCTGAACTGACATGCCAAAAATATGAAAGGTCAGCAATTCTTACGTCCACTTAATCACTTGAGATTTTCAGGATTACAATCTTACTGTGATTCACTTGCAAAGATATTCCAGTTACAGAAATAATTTCCCTACTAAGCGTATGCCCCGGCAACGGCCACCAACAGTGAATGGCAGACAGCTGTGCCTCACACAAAACAGTTTAGCGCTGGAAATAGTATCCAGTGTGGTATTGTGGTCAGGCAATAAAACCCTGAGCTTAGTCCGACTTTTATCTTGTGAACCAAGCCAAAACAAGGCACATCTGTCTATAAAAAACCTCCACAGCCACATGTATACTGTGAGGTCCTACAGCAACGCAGCGTTGCCATCTCATATGCCAGCACCTACTGAAACCTGCCTGCTGCCGAGACACTCTGCTCCCTCATCTCTTGGCAGCATTTTGCCAGACAAGTTATTTTAAAAATTATTTTAGGAAAACTGGCCAAAAACTGGAATGCATTATGCGAGCACAGGATTTCAGTTTTAGATTTTAAAGCCAGCTTGGACACATATTAATACAATATATTGTGAATGAACAATAATAGAAATACTGATTACATACTTAAAAGATTTAGGCTTGAAATCCTTCCTAAAGAATAAAGCCTGACATATTAATTATTAAGAGCCTGCACTATTTAATTATCTGATTTCAATAGATGTAGTAAATTAAAGAGGAATATCGGACTCTCTTACATTAAGTATATGAATAGGCTCTGTCACAGGCATTTGCTAGAATGTGAACAACTCGACCATCAGCACAGCACTGTCAATAAAACCGGTACAAGCCTAGAAGGGAAAGTAAGTAACTCCACCGCTGAGGGGAAAATCCAAGTGCGCTTCCTTCTCGGCGATCAAATACAGGATGAGCGAGAGCGTAAAAGCAGCAGTTGCCACTGTTTGTCACAAACCTGATGACACGAGGTAAAGAGAGCAAACCCATCAAGTAATCCTGCAATCAAACCAAAAGCAGAACAAATTTATGCAATATACACACTACATATAAGCAATTTCAGCTGTTTTTAAAGCAGCCTAGGTATATTGCCGCCCTGCCAGATACAGCGAAGACCCTGAGAAGCAGAGCTGGTACAAGAAACGTGATTTTCCCAGTGCAAAGGTGCTGACCAGATTAGAAGTAGACTTGGGGAAAAGTAATTAATATAATGCGAGACCAGCTGAACTGAAGGTGGTTTATACCAAAGTCGTAGCTTACATTTCTCTTCTACAGCTGCATAAAAATACAGCTGTTTAAAAAGCTTGTTTCTACTTACTGTTATGAGCAAAATCCTTAAAACTCTCATATTATAATCTGACCATTTGATGCCTTCTGAATTCTACAAATGGTCTAAAACAGTGGCTCAGAAGAAGAATGATCCCACTCAGCCCAAATCAACCTTCCATTTTACTGCTATAGCTGGATATCAGGAGATAAGTACAGAAATCACTGGTGTACTGATGTGACAGAATTCCTGCACTCTTGGATGACAGACTGTCTCTCCTACTTCTCACAAAGCACTTTAATTAATTAATTTCTGGATGAGAACCTGTATGCCCCAAGCTGCAGCAGGGATGATGGAAGCCCAGAGAAAACAGCGATCTATTCACTAGTACCACGTCAACCACAGTGACCTTGTAAACACCACTTCATGGAAGGTTCATCCCCGAGCGTTCAACCTGGAAAATCATTCTCAGGAGGCGTGCTATCCTCCCAGCTCTCTGACAATCAAGTAAATTCAATTTACATGAGGAAAACGCATCATTTTGCTGCCAAGCGTCAAAACACACCAGTTAACAGGCCTGTCACTTTCATTCCCCATAAATCAGCACGAGTAAATGGAGTGAAGGTAAAGACATCCAAGTGCATCGTATCCCACACGTGGGCTATTAACCAACACAAATACTGGGTGGAAGTAATATTTTCTAACCATCTCTAGATACTATCTCAAAGAAGATGGTGAGGACATCATGTTGCCTATCTCAGGTACTTTCATAACTTGCATTAAAGTCACGTAAAAAAAATGGCGCACAACACAAACCACCTTTCCTCTGTGCGTTATCCTGGTGGAAATTGAGGGAAGACGTTTCCGCATCTGGAGGGTGGCGCCACTTTCTCCGTTTCTGCAGGTGGAACCTGTTGCACAGACCTGAGTGACTTGTTCAAAGTCTCGCAAGAAGTCTGAGGTGGAACATGGAACTGATACGTTGCCTTGGCTACGGACAGAAAGCTGCCACCACGTGCCCTTCCCGTCACACACACCTTGCACGCCAGCCCTGAGCAGCCAAGGGAAACTGCCAGCTGTTTCTCCAGTTCTGGAAAAGGTTATATCTCCCTCCACAAGATGACATACCAGCGATGTCCAAGTTCTCCATCTCAAAATATAATATGTCCAGGAATAGTTATTTATGCAAATTTATATGCTGCGAGTTAGCTGAGGATGAAATTCCTTTTTTTTCAGAGTTGTCACCCTCAAAGTAGTTTCTTTTTACACTTCCTCCCACCTGCTTTAAAATTAAAATAAAAAAAATAAGGAGAAGGACATGGCATACTTTAAATGCTACTATATCATTAAAAACAAACAAACACAAAACCCCCAAACCAAACCACTTATTACTTTTGCAATATTCCAGAAGCAGAAGTCTTCTCAGACAGATTAGCCCAACGGCTGAGGATAAGAGACTCAAACCGGGTTCCTGACCTTTAAAAGAAACAACAAAACCCCAACAACGAAAAGAAATAAATCACTCTCAACAAAGTAAAACCACCTTTAATTAAATTCCTACATAAAACAACATTTCTATGCAAAACAACTGTTTAGTCCAAAAGTAAATATATATATATATGTTTAATTCTCTTTCAAATGTCGACAAGAATTGAGAGCCACCAGTGTTCCTTGGAGAACAAGCAGTAGTTAAAGTCCATCTTGCTGATGTTCATAAACAGTATGTTACATCTTTTAACCAGCAGTTCCCTATTGCACGTAACCAATTTGCTCTCCATTTAAGCACCTAAAAGCCTGGTACCTCACTAAATAAATTAAAACAAATCCAGTTTCTTCAGCAACCATCTTCAACATATATAGCTTGGTAAAGCGACATGACTGCAAGCTTTCAATAAATACAGAAAGAAAAGATTAATGACTTCTTACTGTGTTTTTTCTTTATGGAATGATCTTTTTCCCCATAAACACTTGCTTTTCCAAACATTTGGGCTTTTTGGTATGTATGATCTAAAAATCATGATGTGTAGGATATTTAATGAAAATTTTCCATGCATGAGTCGGTACATTTGCATGGCACAACAAATCCGAGACACGAATTTCCACGCGAGGCTGAACCTGACATAAATGAGCCTCGTAAGGGCTTGAAAACAGCTCCAGAGGCCAAAAGGGAGACGGTCACCGACGAGGGATTCTCAGACACATTTGGAATCAACCTAACTTCCCTCTTGCTGAGGGTCTTCTTTTGCGTGTGTGATGTCAGAGGAACAAAACTGTGCAGCCCCGAACATCTGGACGCTGCGTTATTTGTAAAGGTCTCTCCCCCTCCCACCCACCCCCATCTTGCAAATCTCTATTTTTGGCAGCAGTGTAAGACATCAAGCAGCTCCCTGTAGTACAACGATACTGTGGTTGCTATTTACAGTAGAATTAATGCATCTGTGCCAGTAGGGCAGAGTTCATATGAAAAATATACACAACGTGGTCATTTTTAGCCAGATTAGGATATATATATATAAAAAAAATTGCTCTTCAAGTCCTGATTTTAAACGAAGAACAGATCTGACAGAAGTCTTCAAACCTCTGGAGTATGTTAGAGTATATTACCCTAACGTAAAAAACCAAATATTTACACTTCCATAAAGTACCAAAGAATTTGTAAAAATGCCTAGTAGCTCTCAGCGTGCAAAGTCAGCAGAAGAACGTTCACTATTTGTAGAGACAGTCTTGGAGTCAAGCATTCAGAAGCAGAGTGCAAAAGACTCAGGAATTATTTCGGCCCATTTCTTTTTGCTGTTGCTTTGCCTTCTTTCTTAACTAAAATGTTGGTCCATATTACAGACCCCCTTTAAAAAAAAAACACTTTTCAAGGTAACACTCGGCTTAGTGCAAATGCGAAAATCTTCTAGGATCTGTAATCTTTTCGAACAGTGTGAGCCATCCAGTTCACTTTAGTAGTCCAACTTTCCCGGAGTGCTTCATCAAACTTTTGCTTAAACTGTTTTAGTGCTTCTTCCTCACTCTTCCCTAAGGCGAGAGAGTCCTAAGGGAACAGAAAAAGAAGTGCTGTCAGGAATTTTAGAAGTCACAGTTAAGGCCTCCTCCACCTTTCAACACAAACCGCATTCTGTTTCTTTTGTTTTAATACTTTTTCACTTATTCATTGAGCAACACATCAGTGGAATTTTCTGGCTTTAAAGATAAAACTGAACAATTAAGCAAATAATTTTCACCTTTAGAGGTCTATCTTGTACATGAGCCAAGACATCACCCCTGCAATGACTATATTTAAGCTGCAGGGATGCTGAACTCTCTATAGAATGGCTGAGAGGAACGTCTACTCAGAGTTTCCTTTGAGCGCTAGGACTGACTACAGACCCTGCTCTACAGGGCTGAAAAAGAAAGCTTCGAGAACTATGTGGAAATCTTGACAGAAATGGAAAACAATGAAGATGTATTTGTTGTAGAATCAAAATTCACACACTGGGAAAAAAGCTAAGTCCTGCTGAGCTGTAAATTTTCCTTTACCTTGAGATACTGGATGTCCTTGACAGAGGTTAGCTCTGGAAGCCCTGCAGTTAACATCAGTGCAAAGAGTGTAATAAATAGGTTTCCATGTTTTCGCAATATCAAGTACGCTTCTTCACAATACTGGCGGAATCTTCAGCACAAAGGACATGCAACAAAGACAACACGTGAGAACTTACACAGCTGACAAATATACGTAACAATTTCCAACCATTATCTGGTCTAATGCACATATCGTAGGAACGCAGTCACAGAAAGGACAGAGGTGTCTACAAAACCTTCAACGCATTCCCACAGAAGCACCTCACGCCTCTTCTACAAGCCCTTAAAGCATCAGTACAAAAAGATCAAAAGCTTTAAAAAAATTCCACTGCTCTTCAGAAAGAGCAAAAAATGCCAAAGGTAATGCCAGTGTCCCATCTCCTGGAGAAGGCATTAGGTGAAACATCCTGGTGATCCTACACAGTGAACCTACAGTGCAAAAACAAAAGCTCTAGAGCAGCCCCTGCCAATCCAGCCTGTCTCTGTAAGGTTAGGGCCTTCCTGCAAACACGGTTAAAATTGAACCAACTGCCAGATCTGGCATAAAGACCCATCACACAGACCCTTGAGAACTTGCTCAATGTCCCCAGATGCGCCACTGCCCAGCGTCTAATCTGTTCCTTCTCACAGCAAACGGGAAGAAGCCCTCAGACTAATCTGACCAGTTATACTTCAAAGAATAAATTCTCTTTTGAGGCATTTTTCAAATAAAGGTGGAATTTAAAGCACTCCATATTCCACAGCTCTTGCAATAGCATATTTCATATCTCTATCAATAAATTGAAAAGGAACTTTGTCTTTCTTTGCCAAGCTGCAGTTTCTGATGTATGAAGTAATTGATATACATTTGAGCCCAGGTAGAGAAGTAGACAGTATTGTAAATGCATGAGCAAGCCAAACCCAGATACATTGCTGGTGTGCTGGGAATTTCCACCAGAGATCATCTCTGTTATGAAATGAAGAGATGAAAATAATACTCACCGACCAAATTTTTCAGTGTTCCCTGTTTTTCCTTGTTGAATAACATGGATGAAATCATAGGTGAGTATGAAAGGTACCCGTTCCCTTTTAATTCCAAACTTGGACTTGAAGTTTCCAAGAATATGCCCAAAATCTATATGAAAAAGCTGAAAAAAGCATAAGTGAAAATTAATTTCTCCTGGGAAATATTTCACTTTTCTACTATCTCTACAGGATGCTGGTATGAAGAACAGTTAACTCATAACGCCACTCTCCAGAGCACATGGTTTCAATCTTTTGGGAGCATTTAGTTTTAAAACATTTCCAGATTTATTTAAAATCACATTGATGCTCTTACAAGAAACCATTGCTACAAACCAGTGTGCAAAAGATGTCAAGTTTAAGCTTCTGATGTCTGCCAAGAGACATCTTCTAGGTGATAGCAGATAGAAAAACGAGCCCAATGATGAGCCCATGAGGCTCAACAACATCATATCCAAGGGCTTCCTGCGCAAGTTCTACTAGCTTTGCTCCCGAGTTTAAGTTACTCTCAAGGAACCTGTGACAGTTCTCCCACTTTAGAATCAAAGAAAAGAGCATTTCGGCTTTCTTCTAATAGGTAAAAACTTAAAAGAATATTGCAGATGTCTATAAAGCTCACACTTTTCATAACCTTGCTAGTTTCATAGGCAGAACAATTTAAATAAACTCAGCAGAAAGTAACAATTAAACAGGAAAATGTATTTCTAAGAGCTTATCACGTTCTAGGTTTTGAAACTTGCAGTCACAGCCTTACGCTGGTACTGAGTCCCATATTGAAAACTTGTGCAGAGGTGGGCTGTGGAGCCTAACTTCAGGAAAACCACACTGCTCAAACCTGCAGTTTATGTATTTTTAAGGATGGTCTTTTGGCAAGATAGTCCAAGATCACTTTTATTCAATGAATCTGCACCAATAACAGACCTTTTGGATATGTCAGCCTCGCTTGATATCGAATTGGTGGGTCCTGTCACTAGTCTTACACTTCCTTTCTCTGAAGCTCTCTTCAATTCTCAGTAAACAAAGTTTTCATCAGTTCTAACAATTCAAAATTCAAAGTTCTCAAGACAAGTCTTGCACAACAGAGATACAGTAGTTATCCAGCCTACGGACAAGATTTTTACCTGACCGTTTTTTCTGACCATGATATTGTCACTGTGTCTGTCACCAATCCCCAGGACATAAGTAGCTACACAGTAGCCAGCACAAGAAAGAGTAAATTCTTCAATGGCTCGATCCAAGTCATCTCTAGAACCAAAGATGACAAACAATATGAGTGCACACTGCTGGTAATTCATGTCATGCCTTGACCTCAAAAAAGATCTTTGCTTGTTTAAACCTTAAGCCCATTAGAATGCTGTAAAACTAGATTTGAGAGAAAATATTGTAAAAGGTAGCTAAGGAGAATAGGAAAATGCAAATATTATGAATAGCAACAACACCAAGGCTTAAGACTCATGTAGTTTCCTTGAGTTTGTGTTTGTTTTGCCAAACATGCAGTCAAACGCTACAAATGCCAGAATTGCAGCTGGATCGTTGTTTCAGTTCCAAGGACACCATGAATCTGAGTCAGAATTTGACATACTAGAAAAATAAGTAGTAAAGATCCTGCTAAAAGAGTTCCACATCCCTAAATACTGAAAGAGAAACATGCAGGAATTTTGTAGCTTACGCTACAGATGAGAAAACAACTGTAGAAATTACCCTAAATTGTATTCCTTCAGCCAGTTTAAGAGAGCATCTTTGTTGAAGGCGGCGGCGGCAGCGACGTTGCTACTATTTAACTGAATGTCAGCAATGGTTTCTGAACTAGAAACAGCCTCAATAAGGCCAGAGTGATCTCCAGTGGCTAAACAGCCATACGGCAATATCCTGGAACCAAACACAGGTACGTGTTAAAAACAAAACCGCAAAGAACATTCCTTTAGCGTATCCATAGCTCGAGCGGGCCGAGCACTCACACTAAGTGGAACATTAAAACTCTCACAGGTTAACAGACAAGATATTGCTTGCCAAGTTAAAATACCAACAATATAATTGAAAGATTAATTTTTCATATTGCATACGTATACATTAAAAAAGAAGTTATAAGGAATGCTAAATTCTTCCCTTTTACTAGGGAACACAGTTACCTGTAATTTTATAGGAAAAACCATAGAGGGAGCCCTTTGTTTTAATTTGTTAATTTACTGGTTAAACATTTTTCATTCTAGACTGTTATTTGCGTAAATGGGAAAAAGGATCATCTCCTTTCTCCCCATTCCTCCTATTTCAACTTAAAATGCTGAAAATCCTTTAAAATGTAAACATAATGTTTCTCAATTCTTTCTCATTTTAAGCATAGAAACCTAATGAAAAACAGGAATCTTTTAACCCACCTGATACATAAAATCCTTGAGTGTTCCTCTGCCTAGCACAGATACCTAAACCGATATTGCTGCATTAAAATAAAGACTAAAGACGTGAATCAAGGAAGACATGTGTCTAAACAGGTGTGTTTTTCTGAAGCGTTTTCTCACTCCAGATGCTTAAAACACTGAACAGAATGGCAGCTTAGACACGAGCTCAATATATGAACAGAATCTTAAAGCAAACTTTTCAAAGGTGTTGCCCCTCACACTGAGGTGTCTGCTCTCGGGCTGAGTATCTCAGGTCAAGAATATTATTTCAATTCTAGTCATGGATCCACATATAAAAAAATGGAGGCCCATGCAAATACAAGTGCGGTACACAAGCTATAGACTAGCACTTGCTAATTTAAAGCTGTATAACAAAATAGCAGGACCTATTAAATTTTTTCCTGTGCATAAAGAAAAAGCACTGCTGGTAGAGTTGGCATCAATATTTCTATATAGAACAGAGATCAAGTTTGATTGCTACAGAGCAGAGCCACATCTCTTAACTGACACAGTCTATTATCCCAAGCGACAGAAGAAAAATAAAATTCCAGAAGAAATTAACTGAAACTTTTTAGCCTATTAGTTATTAGATAACTAAGCAATTTTCCTACCTCAGTGATAACACACAACTGAAGCAGCACAAGCAGTGATAACTATATAGTTGGGGATTCCTCTCTAAGGGCATAAAAGCGAACTGAAAACCAGATTTGATGGGGCCTTCAGAGAACGCTTAACGCCAAAACATAAAAAAAAATTTGAAACCTTCTTCCCGTTTCTATTCTAATCTCTTTCTCAAGTAAAACCACCGAGCGCCTGTTCTCACACCGAACAGGAGGGTGTCTGTAATTACCGAACACCAGCGCTCATGATACGAGGAAGCACTGCCCATCCTTATCACGACACGACAAAGGCAAGCCAAATATTGCCAGGTTAAAGTGCACGCTGGCCTTCTTCCATGGCATTTCAACCCACCCTGCTTGCAGCTTAACTGGGCACATGTCCAACAACTTCCCCTTCAAAAGCAAGCAATGATGAAAGCCTTCAGCCCCTTGAGGGCTCTGTGCTTACAACTGGAGGAAAAAACATCCTTGTCAGAGAGACAGTTTGACAGGAGTCAAGTTGGGGACAAATCCTCTGGGCCCTTTCCATCTCATCCTGGTCTTTCTGACTTCAACATCTGTCAGCAGGATATGCTCCCTGCCTTCTAATACCAGTAAAGACCAGCAACAGATCAATACAGCAATCCGGGGCAAGACAGAACGTTTTCTTCTTCACCTCATTTAATATCGCTCTTTATTTCAAGAGTTTAATTCTCCAAAGCAGTACCTTTCCAAACACCAAGTTCTGGTTCTTTATCAGCGCATTCTATGTAACTTCATGTCCACTGGTTTTAAAAAAACAACATTCTTTAGACTTGTAGCAAATACATTTCCAATGAACTCTGATTTCCTTCATCCATAGCTGCTTAACATCAGACTTCACGCACATTAAGTGAAGTGAAAGTGAAAACTCATGATACAAACACGGTGAAACAAAGTAGGAGAAATCGCACTATCTATCAAAAATGTAACCAAGTACTAAATGGTGATTTGAAATCTGCTACACAAAGACCAACGCTAAATACTTTATTGCAATTTACCACAGCAAAGGGCACTCAGCATAGACCTAGCTGCTCAAACTTCAGACTTGCTGTTGCTCTGTAACTTTACTAATAGGTAAAGCAGCGTCATTTCTCTTCTGATGCAAAGGTTACTCTCCTAAGAGGTGCCACACTGCAGCCCCCACAGCATGCTTGGGAGGACAGTTGTTATGTTCCTGTGCCGTGACACATATCTGTAATATTTAAACGCCCTCCCACAGAAATAATAGAAATTTATGTAATCTACTCTGAGTATGCTCATACACATAACTTCAGACATACAAATTATTAAAGCAAAATAACATCAAGAGTTGTAACTTTTCAGGGAGGTTAAACTTTTGGAAGTCTCATTTTGTCACTCTGCAGATGCAAGCTCAACATAACTACTGCTTGACTTGATAAGTTTGTTCATAATTGCCCATATTTAATATATGAGAAACAACTAGAGAGAAATTACAGAAAGAACTGAGGAGGGTTTGGCTCACATACTTACATAATGTCTTAGGTCAATGTCTTAGAAATTAACAGACATGGGGATTAATTAAAGAAGATGGGGTTTTGTTTTCTCATTTCTCTGGTACTTGACTGACATGCCTAAGGCAAGCTGACTCCAAACAAGACGTCCCTAAACACCAGGGCAGTGCTGCTCTGGCGTGACGGTCTTGGTGGTCCCATGGTTGGGTCTGCACTGAGAAGTGGGTGCTGCTTACATCTGAAGTTTTCCTCAGCTGTGTGCTCCAGTGCCCAGCCAGTGAGAGCTGGGGATGAAGGACCTAAAGGAGCACACTTACACCCTACCACACACACACATTTCCTTTTTTATGGTCTCGTGCTGGTGCTTAGTCAGAACACACACAGGAACCGAGACAACAGAACACGCCAGGTGTGAAAGGAGCCCATTTACCCATGAGACAAATTAGCTGACAAACCAACCAACCAACTAATCCAGCTTTCTTTTTCTTCAGCTTTGGAGATCTCAAACCCAATATATTTTTGGCGTTTCTCTCCAGCACTGAGAAGTCCCACTGGGAATATTGGGCTTGCTTTAGACACAGACTGGGCTAAGATTTCATTTTAAATTACTATTAAATAACTGACTGAGGATTGCAGTGCAGTTAGGAGGAAATTGATCCTATCCCAAACTTCTCGATGGCAGCATCTTGGTTGCCATTTGAGTCAAGCTTCAGAGAAGCCGGACAATTTGCTTGTGGTAAGACATTGTTGACTGGAAGAAAGAAGCAAACAGCAAGTGCTTCTGCTCTCACACTGGTGAAACAAGTGAGAAGCCCCACTTTTACTTGGATGGGGTCATCGGTCTTTCTGTAGCAGAAAAAAGATGAAAAGCACAAAGTCCATTACACATCCACAAAAGGAAAAATGTAAGCAGGAGCTTCAGGAAAACCAAAGCCTCAAAGGATGATACAGGGCAAGAAGAAAAGACTCCACTCGCTGCTATGGGCTTAGGAAGTTGTATTTTTCAGGGAAGCAGATCTACCCAACACTACTTTCCTGCCTGATGCCACGCGTCTTGCCCAAGCAAAAAGAAGTGAGTCAGCTCACGAACAAGGCAACAGAACTCTGCGTCACCACTGTGGCTAACTTGTAGACTTCGGAGTTGCCTCTCCTTGAGACTGTAAACGTGGAGATCACACAGCCCTGCCCTCTTAGCTGCCTCCTCCTCATGCTCCAGGTGCTCAGAGAGCTCTTTCGTCCAATTCTCAATTAAGGCCATTCCAGAGCCTTTCCTTGGCAACAGCCTGGTTAATCTTTCATGGACAGACATAAAACTGTAACCCTGCCTCGATTCCAGAACTTGATTTTATAATCAGAGAGGATGAATGGAAGGAAGATGCTCCCAGTTAAGTAAATAAATGGAAGAGGCCAATTATAGAATTTCTATTCTCACTAGGAACTTCCCCTTTCTACTTTCTTTCTTCTGAGAGTTTTAAGAAAAATCTTGGACATCAGAGCCACGTCTTGGTTTTCCTTTGTTGAGTGTAAAAAAATGCCTTAGTCAGGAAAAGCATTTCTGATGACTCCTAATCCTATTCCTGTTTGCTAGGCACAGTGTGTGGCCCGGGCTGGAACCACAAACTAAGCTTCTGGGAAGGGAGCAACCAAAGAATGCCTCATCCGGGATTCCACAGCTGCCAGAGGTTGTCCTTGCCCCTAAATGCTGGATCAGTCTCCTCACAGTTTATTTATGACATAAATTATCTAAAGTTTCCTCAAATCGGCGTTCAACTTAACACACACTCAGCTACCTCATCACAAACATTTACTTCCAGAAACAATTTATTATTCACATCCCTACTTATCCCATGCTTCACTCAAAGGAATCCTTCCGTAAGAAGCATAATAAGTTTATAGTTTTACTCCCACTATTATGCTTGAACCAAAAAATCTGAAATGAGCTCAAAGAATCTAAATGTTTCAAGTAATATTTCAAGTAATATTTCAAGTAATATTTGAATAAGTACTTCTAGTCTTACAAACAATACCTAAAAAGCCTTATAAACATTACCTAAAAATTAAATACAAAGGCTAAAGGCTCTTTCGTAGACATATAAAATGGAATTTATGGTCTCCAAATGGTTTATAACAATGTGAGACCCAGTATCTTCCTTAGAACTATTTTTCCGAAAAGAAATTAGGATTTGAGAACTGCGTTAGCTAAAACCAGTGTGTAGTTGCAATTCCTACGATCACTAAGTCCCCATTTTTGCATATGCCTGGAAAATCAATGACCACTAATAGTTAAGTTTGTTACACGAGGATTTTATGAGACATCGCCCTTTGGAAAGGTCACAGGTGCAAACAAAGGCACAAGACCAGCTTGCTGGACCCTTAACTCAAAAATTATTTCCTGACCTCTTACAATGCTTTACATATCTAGAGGATTTCAAAAGACAAAACCAGCAAACTCTATAAGAGAACAGTGGACATAATCAGCGTGACAGCTTCCACAAACAACAAGAGATACAGTGCACCAGGAAAAATATTCTGCCTGATAATAAACAAAAACCCCGAAGTTTCATTTCATTTATTCTGTTTCTTCTTTTCATGGCTAAATTCTTTCATAGGGAATGAAGTCCTAAGAGAAACCATCTAATTAGTTAAGGTAACCACTTTCCACAGCCTATTCACCTTGGCTACGTCAACTGAAACCTCTGGGCATCCATATACATGTTTAGAAAGGGGACAGTAGGGACAGCATTTAAGGAACAGGAAAGCTTTACTGCAAAACGTGGACTCTGCATTCAGATAAATTAGCCCTCAAGAGATCCTTACCGGAGATCCAGACCAGCTTCTTTCCAAAGGATGTCCATCAAACGCAAAATCTGGAGCGTCAACATGTCCTGTCGGAGATCTGGAATGACAGGTAGAAACCACTACTTCAGTTTCCCAGTGTGTTGCAATCTTTAGAATACTTCCAAGGCCTTCAGAAAAAGGTGTTCAAAACCACTCATCAAGTGTAAAGGTTCAAGAAGGATTAACCACAATTATATCATCATGACTGATAATGTCTACACTTTGAAACACAGTTAGAAGATGCTGTGTTACTCATGTTAGAGTAAACCATGTTTCTATTATGTCAAGACACGTGAGCCTGAAGAAGGACAAGAAAAAACTTAAAATGGTTAGCATTGCTTACCATCACCATTTTTGAAGATGATTCCTACAAGATCTCCTCCAAACATTTTATTGTTGTAGACTATCCATAGAGGTTTCATTTTAGAATCCATATACTTACACTTTTCAACACTAGGAGAAACCATAACAAAAGTTTTAGTCAAATAATTCAAATGCAAAGGTCTCCACACTGTTCAAACTACAACAGAACATGTAGAACACGTAATTAGACAAAAATCTTCTAACTGAATTGATACCGTAACTTCAGGAAGATTCCCAACAGACTTTCTCTCACTATAGAAGTTCCCTGTGACAGCCTTTCAGCAGAACAACCCAGATGTCAGAGCACGCGTGTGTTTCTGCTCTGCCTCCGTGCAAAAGCTACAGTGAAATTTTGTTGTTAACTTACTGTAGTTCTGAAAGTATCACAGAAGGATTCAGAGGAGACTGGAGATCAGAAAGAGCTTCTCTGTAAGCGTTTTGTTTCAAACACGTATGCATTGCATCTTTTCCTTTTGCTTTGCTTTGCTTCATGGCATTCAGCTTAATTAGACTATTTAACGTCTTCATTTTATTGAGGGCTTCCACCTGAAAGAAATTTCACCCCCCAAAGTTATTGTTTTACACACAGTGTCATGCAAAACATCCCATTTCAAAACAAAACAAAGTATTAAATAATTCGACAAGGTTTTAAAATAATAGAGGACAATCACAGTGGCATTCCAAAAAACCAAAAAAAATACTAGAACAGCCTTTTCTAAGACACTCATGAAAACGCACTCTCTGGGACATAACTAACAAGACATTGATGGGATGAAAGCTCCTAAGCTTCAGGTCACTTTTTAAAGCATAACTTAACATTTCCCAGAAAAATCGATGAGGTAACATAGGACACAAATTCCTTCACATACTTCTACAGAGCATAGTCTTAAATATTTGCTCGTTAAAACCCAGCTGAAATTAGGCATAAGGTAAATGCACTAATCAGTTCAAGTGTTCCAAATCATAATCACCTAAGCAATACTGTTACCGTAAAAATGTGTTAAAAGGCAAGGCAATTACATGCAATCAATGCAGGTGCATTTAACCTTTTTTATCCCCTTCTGCTAGTTTGGAAAGTTTTCTACTGGTACCTAATTTCTAAGAAAACCAGTAAACTTGTGACGTACATGTGTGTAACACTATCAAAGCAAAGTCCTTTAGTAACAAACCCAGATAGCACATTCAACAAATAGAATTTCTACATTGTATCTACGCCTGAGCAACAAATAGAAAATGGTTATTCTGACAATCAGCTCCATTTGCTCTGGCAGCAACCAACATGCTCAGCAATGCACAGATTGTGTGACAAACAGCACTGATTTAGTAATCACAAAAGTCAATTTCTATATGAGGAAGCTTCAGCCTGACTTACAAGGTGCTGAGTGAAAACTTACCGCTTCCACAGACAGACTGAACCCTGTCGGGCAGGATGCTGGGGAAATTGTAAGCGGTTTGATTATAAAACTGAGGCAGTGGAGACCTGCCAGGTCAGCCATCTGTCAAAACCAAAAGGGCTCTGCTTTTCCACTATTCTAGGAGCTGTACAAACATCAGTGACAAGGGAACAAAATGGAACCTGCGTTGTACAAACAGGAACTTTTTGAAGTATTTCTACTTTGAATTTCTTCCGTGTTTGCACAGTTGGGAATTTTTTTGCCCCTTCTTTGATTGTACTGACATTTGTTTCCTGTGAAGTGCACAAAAACTTTACTGACCTTAGGTCTACTGCTTAAAGTATTTCATCGCCTAATCTTTTTAGGATTTTGACAATACTAACAAGCACACACGTGTAAGAGACGGTCTTTCCAAAGTCCTGCGAACTTAAGTAATAAAGAGCACAACAGTACGCTCGTTCCTGTTCCACGTCCTCTCAAAGTACAGCTTCAATGCAGGAAGTATCAAAACTGTTAGAAATAACACCCATCGGACAAGTATCTACTGAGTGAGTACTCTGTGGCCCGATACAGCAAATCCATTCGTTCCAGAGAGAGATCATTTTTTCAAATATTTTTATGATCACAATCTAAATTAACTTGCTAAAACTGCATCGGAGACTTCAGATGTTATTTGTGAGTATCTCATACTGATCTGCTGATACTTTTACTAGTGTACTTAAAGAAAACCTCTCACACTTATTAGGGTATTTAAAAGCAAATATGTATCTCCGTTTATCTTTTTTTTTGTAAACAGTATATTCCTGTTAACATTCAAATGAGTATCTGGTTTACTTCAACACCTCTATTTCCAGAGAGTACTATACTACATGACAGTTTCGGAGGTTTTTGCTTTTCCCAAAAGCCAAAGCTGCAGGAGGTAGTCCTGGAGTCATCTGGATAAAGTTTAGGCAGAAAGGTAATAGTTTCTATTGAACAGGTTATCCTTACTGGGGAAAAATCTCACAAGTTTTAACCCTTCTTCAGGTAACAATCCAGACAGTCTGTTGTTCTATCCAGAACACACGCATCCTGCTCAGAGTATCGCACGTCTCGGAACACCACAAAACCAGGTCCCACCTCTGCGGCGCCGCAGCACCAGCGGCTTTCTGTGCCAGGGAGGATGGCTCCAGCATCCAGCAAGCCCTTCCATCTCTCCATCTCACCCCCGCTTCCTTCTCTGCCCTGCTCCCCAACACACAGACTTTGCCGAGGTAAACAATAAGCCCCACAGGAGCAACCAGTAAGGGGTTTGAGTTGTGGGATAAGCCAAGATTTCAAGGAGATGGGAAGTCTCTACCTGTTTCGCAAGCACCTTCATATGAGCAACACTTCCTCGGCAGTAAGCTTCAAGTATCAAACCGAACTGTACTGAAACGGCAGGTATGTGAACCTCCGACCTGGAAGAAGAAAAGTCTCTCATCAGACCACAGCATTTACAGGTTAGCATTCTTCCAGTCATTAAAATAAATTTAAAAAGAAATAAAAAAAATAAAAAAACTAAGAAAGCAAACACCAAAACACCTCGCGGTCATGTGGATATAACAGAAAGATTGGTTTCTCAAGAAATAACTGATCATTTATGTGCTGAAGACTCTAAGGACTCTCTGGTTTCAATGATTACTGCTGGTTGCAACATCTAGGTCTGTTCTGGAGACATTGAAGTTAAGAAGTAGCAAGTGAAATCCCTTTTTCAGGAACTTCTTTTAGTCAAGAAAGTAGTACTGATAACTCAAAGAAGATGATATTGACATCAGGGCTGATGTTAAACCAAATCTTTGTAAGGGAAAAGCCAAAATTTGCCTGAAGGAGAACACTGAAAACAAATCACTGAACCTTATACCAGCGCCAGTTATTCTCCAAAACTTTTTCATGTAGTACTTGCTCCTTTTATTTACAAATATTACAATAAATTGTACTTTAAAGACAGAATCAACCTATCACCCACTGGGCAAGATTTCTGCCATTCATAGAACCGGTCATCAAAAGTAGCAGCCACACATAGAAGCGCTTTGATTTTCTGTTAGGCTCTCAACAATAACATAAATTCTTCCCAATTGTGAGGTATAAATATTGTACTTTTACTGCGCATACAGCCAAAACAAACACTAAGGGTATATACAAACCTAACTTACGAGATATTTAAAGCTGAATGCAGTTTGGACAGCACGTCAAAGCATATGTTATAAACTGTTGTAACTTATTTTAATTACAGGCTCCCTGTAATCTATGAATGACAAAGGTAAAGAAACATAAAGAGGGTTTGTAAGGGACTACAGTTTTTTTAGAAAAATCCTCAAGAACTCATATTTGAAAGTCCAATCTGGCTCAATAGTCTCCAAAAGACATAAGGGAATAACTCCTACCTTAGATGCCAAAACAACATCTGTCCTATTCTCCTGTTAGCGAGCGCTCTCTCTAGGAGAAACCTGGAGAGCGCGCAATCCAGGAAAGGTTCGTATTTCAGGACTTGCACAAGTTGAAGAAGATATTGAGAGAGCTCTTCATCACTAGAACAAGGTACAGAAAAGCAGTTAGTGACAGAGTAACCACATTATGATATTCCAGGAATTCGGATGCACGTGACAAATCCAGCAATGACAGAATTGTTTCAATAGCAAATATCTCCTAAATTTTCAGTCACATGGAGAAGGGCAATAACACCCAATTTAGTGCAATTCCCAGATTGATCAGTTCAAGGGTAAGTTACACCTCTAACAGCATCTTTAGGCCCTTAAACCTCGAAGTAAAAACCTGGCGTTCTGGCTTTGATAAGACCAAGATCTCAGCCCGAGAGCCAGGCTAAGGATCCGGGAGATTAATTACTTCAAATTGTTTCAGACTGGCCCTTTGACCACCCACCTCTGACTGAGGAGCTGGACTTTAGGACCCACCTCTACTTCCGAAGTACAGATGTAGGTATTTAGCCACAGCTCATCAACACACCTTTAAAAAGCTTCTATGCTAATTAACTACTTCAAGTAATATTCCAACACAATAATTCCAATAATTTTCTATAAAATTCTGTATTCTTCCCCTACCTCAGATGCTCACCCTCAGCAATCATGTTACTCTAGAACAAATGTGAACATTCTTTGACTTTTTACATTTGACTGTCTTTTTCTCTTATAAAAGGAGTGTAGGCTTCCAAGTTTCTGCATAAGATGGAATGAAAAGAAATTCTTCCATCATCATGTGAAGACTTCAGAGATGTAAATATCAAAATCATTCATTCTCTCCATCTTACTCTGAAAAAACTTCAGTAACTTGGTAAAAACTGTTGTTTATGCTGTGTTCTATTTATATTTGCCTTTTTATTTTAATCACAGTTAGAATCACCTTTAGGTTGCAGGTTTTATCAGCTGCCTTCATCGGACTTTTTCTTAAGAAAGTTTAAAATTGATTTCTGACACCCAACTGAACACAATTTTGCTGCAGAGCCAGAACTAAGAATTCTGGAAATAATTCCAGATGTAACAATTCAATACTATTAGGATAGCCCAGCAGCTAGATTGCTTGTTTGCAGTTGAAAGAAGTCAAAATGTTCTTTTTTTTTAAAAAAAACAAATCCAAAACTGTACACTTGACCATTGAAAACTTAGTAATTAAACTATTTACCACAGAGAATTTGGAATTCAAGGACAGGAAATACCCAGTAATGTTGCAAGTGATACTGTTATACAAATCTTGCCCTTAAGTTACAGGTAAGAGTAAAGAAGTTACACGGGATAAAGGAAGAACCATAGATAGAGGAGGCCACGAAGAACAAATGACTAACTCTCTGGCGTTTCATTACAATGCTACATTTCTAATAAATGGTAGAGTCAATACCTGACACTGAGCGTGAGGTGGCTGGATGGCAGCTTCTAAAGTATTCAAACTATTGTAACACTTTTGACCTCTGTCGTTAAGAAGTTCTCACACTACCTTGCTCTCCCTTTGCTCCCCAAGGGGCGACCACACCAGCCTCTCTGGGACAAAGGTACTCTGGCATTCTCCTAGCAACAGGGAAAACAATAATCACTGAATACCAGATGTCACAATAAGGTGGTTTTATCTGGCTGCCAACGTGCTTATCTAGAAATCAGACTGCTTTATTTGGCCATCTACTCATTGTAGGCAGAGCCTTTAACTCTTTGCTCTTTGGGTTCTCTGCTTCCTACAAACAGTCAGGATGCAGTTTTTCAGCCCAGAAATCCAGGCATGCTGACAGAACACAAGATACTCACCTCATTTGTTTTAAACAACCCACTGCATATTCTCTGACGTACTGGTCTGGATAATTGAAATCCAACAATTCTAACGCTTCCCTGGGCAGCAGCTTGGGCCAGATCTGAAGGAGAGCCTGAAGCTGGTTTAAAAAGAAGACTTAGGTTACCAGGGAAGTAACTATTTAAGAAAACCGATGGGTATAACTGCACATGTAAGCATTCATACTAAGAGAAGCAGGTTACAGACTGCTCCGGAGTAGGGGAAAGGAAAGAAATCAGTCTGGGAAAACGGCCCCACTTCTGATTAAGTTTCTTACCCTTTAAAATGATCCAGATTTTTTTTTTGGCACCAAGTCTCATTTACACTTAGTTTGAAAAGCCTGTTTCTTCACACATAGACACAATGCACAGTAAACAAAAATTAAGTAACCCCAGATATGTATGTTTTAGAAACAGAGTTTCAACAAAATTTAGATAACATTTTGTAAATGCTCTCACAAATATATAAATATTTTGGTGATGGCAAAAGTTTTCCATTTAAAAAAAAAAATTAAAGAAGGCTTTTGTTGAGAGACGCGGTTACCAAAAACACTTATTCACCTCAACTGCTGGAGCCTCCTCCCACATGCACTATGAACAGTAATGAGCTCAAACTGCAAAATGGGTGATGCGGGTGAGATAGTTTTAAAAAATTCCCAACACTGAAGACAATGATGTGCTGGAAAAAATTGCAGAAAACACTAGTCCGTTATTCCTGTGAAACACCAGAACCGATTGGGCAGAGAGGTGGTAGAAGTGTCCAAGGCCAGGCTGGACAGGGCTTGAAGCAACCTGCTCTGGTGGGAGGTGTCCCTGCCCATGGCCGGGGGGGTGGACTTGACACTTTTGCCATCCCAAAAAAGTCTATGATTTTATTTTGGACTACCAAGAACTACTACATCTAGAGGTCTCATGAAATAAACTGGTTTTACTGCATTTAGCGAAGCTACGCACTGAGAGTATGTTTTTAATAGTACGTACGTAGTTGTATGAGGGAAGCAGTACACTAGTACTCAGAATAAACAAGCCTGAATGTCTAAGTGCAGTGTATCAAGAGCAGAAGATTTTTCCTCTGTAGAAACAAGTCAGAACTCATGATAAAAGTACTCTTTCCTACAAATTACATGACACGGATATTTCATATTTACATTACCTATTTACATAGCAACTTTACATCCAAACACACAAATTTACACAGCAACTTACAAAATCTGAATTAGTAGGAGGATCTCAGTTTCCTCCTGATTTACTAATCCTTTCACACCATCGCTGTCTCTTCCCTTACCTGAGCAACATCTTCAAGTTTGTTCCATTTTAAAGACAGCAGCAGTTTGGGCAACGATTGTGGAAAATTTTCTCGACAGTCATATCGCAAAGTCCAAATAAGATCCATTTCATTTTCACAGAGTTGAGATAAAGGATCTCTTTCCATTATTTCTTTCAGCACAACATAAAACTTCTTACCACCTCGACCCTAGAAAACGAGAAATGAATAATGCTTTGATACATTCAGTAAGATTCATACTAGAAATCCTACTCCAGGAAGAACATCAGAGAAAATTAATGAAACAAGGACTGACTAATGGGTCTTTCTTTTCAGATTTCTTAAGCTGTAAGAATTGTAACTAACAGATTCAAAACTCGGTATGCAGAAGTTTCTGAAAAAGTAACTCAACTTCAGACACTAGATGACACTAGATGGCAATGTTTCAATTTTCTAACTCTAACACAGAGAACTTGAATTCAGGATTCATACACTTTTTCCTTTTGTTTTTCAAGTGAGCAAATTCAGTAGATATATGTATTTTTATTTATTAATTAAAAGCCAAAACATACTTTTCCAACAATAACCAAACGGAATTACATTTACTAAATATGTGCTAGTGTAAGCATATACCTGAATTTTAAGGCAGTTCAAAATGCATTATATAAGAAAACAGAGCCAGTAGAACTGCTATCTGAGCAGCTGACTTATTTCTAGATTGATGCAGAAGACAAAAGTTAAAAAAAACCAGAAAATAAATTGCAGAAGTCTTTAGCAGATGCTCACCGCCATTGCAGCATTGTCACTGCTTCTTGCAATCTCAGCTGCCTTTTCAAGTATCTGCAAAAAGGCATTTTAAACATCTTAGATTAAAAACCAAAATTGACAGCATTGAAATAAAAAATATTAAAGAAATTAAGCTATCTTTTGATAATTACAACACTATAATTTTGCACATAGAGCGGTATAATATGGATTTCTATGCTGTGTTCCTTCTCTAATCTGCAGGACTGAGAATAACTCACGATTACCTCAATTTGCTTCTCCTTCACCACTCCTAGGATAGTTTTCGCTACAGCACCTTGCTTTCTGTTTCTGTTTGCACCTCCTCTTTGTTTTTCAGTACAGCACATCCAATTCCTCAACTCTACATCCTCCTTTGCTTTCTCACCTCTACCTGAGTTACGAGTAGTACCTGTCACCCACAGCAGCTCACCCCAGCCCCCTAGTTCCGCAGGAATCA